TGCTTTTCCTCAAGGTAGGGTCTGCCCTCAGGAAGCTCCCATTCTACTTTACGACATCTTTTCCCCCTTACCCTTAATTGCCTCAGTCGTATGGATGCAGAAGAGGGTCACAGTTGCTCCCCGAAGGCCTTCTGCATGTTGTACTGCACACACCTTATCCAGTCCTGGGGCACTGGAGCAGCAGTGCTGTTGTTATCCATGACTTGTCCTCCGGACATCAAAACCCTAAGGTTGGAGCAAATTTTAGGTCGCATGTCTACTATTGGAATTGGGGAAATGATCAGCTTAATTCAATCATGGCAAAATACGATTTACCAAAAATCCTGGTGCAGTGGTGCCGAACATGGGCTGTTTGCAGAAGCAGTGGGGAGGATGATACCTCAGGGTAGCTGGACTACTAGGTCCTCATTTGGGAATTTAGATGTGCACATCCTCATCTTTATTTTTAGGATAAATTTCAGACTTGTGACCAAGGCCAAATTTCTACCAACATCTTTGACCCCATCTCAAACCTGGCTCTGTGTTACTCTCTGCTATCCAACCACACTGGGTTTAGTTCGTTCTACATTTGGACCAGTCTCCTTTCTGCCTTAGGGTCTTTAAACTTGCCATTCACACTGTGTGGAGCTTTCTCTTCTTTCTTCTTCCCTACCTTTGCTTAACTCATCAGCTTAAATGTCATTTCCCCAGAGAAGAAATCCTTATTTATTTTTGGTGGTATCAGGGCTTGAACTCAGGGCTTCATGCTTACTAGGCAGGCATTCTATCACTTGAGCCACTCCATCAGCCCAAGAAGTCTGATTTCTCAGAGTGACTCAGGTCTGTTCACTACTCACAGTCCCCTGGACTTCTGCACAGGGCCGATCGCACTTGCAATATTTATTTATATAATTCTTTGTCAGCCTCCTCAGTGGACATTGTGCTTTATGAAGGCAGGGACTGCATTTTGTTGAGTGCCTTACTGCTAAATCCCTAGCTATGGCCAGTGTTTGGCACGGGAGAATTGTTCAATGCATGTTAACGAATGAATGAAGGTTTATATGCTGCTTAGACGTCAACTTGGGCGGCCATACCAAAATAACATTGTGTCTTAGTCCATTTTGGGTTGCTATAACAAGATATAATAAACTGGGTGAATTATAAACAACAAACATTTATTTCTCTTAGTTCTGGAAATTGGGAAGTCCAAGATTATGGAGCTGACAGATGTTTCTGTTGAGTGCCCACTTCCTTATTCACAGACAGCTGACTTCCCACTGTGTCCTCACACAGAGGAAGGGGCAAATTAGTTCTCCAAGACCTATTTTCTAAGGGTACTAATCCCATTCGTGAGGGCTCTGTTCTCGTGATCTAATCACCTTCTAAAGGTCTACCTCCTAATGCCATCACCTTGGGGGTATAATTTTAACATTTGAAAGAGGCTGGCCTCTAACTCATGATCCTGCTTCCACCTATGGAGTACTTGGATTACAGGCATGTGTCACTGTACCCTGCCCAACCTACAAGTTTTGTGGGGACACAAACATTCAGTCGATGTGGACTGGATGGCTTAAACAGCAGATATACCTTTTACAGTTCTGAGACTAGGAAGTCAAAGATCAAGCCAATTTGGCTCCTGGTGAGGGGTCTCTTGGTGGCTTTCCATTAGCTATCTTCTTGTGTCCGTATGTGGTAGACAGGGACAGCAAGCAAGCTCTCTGTATCTCTTATAAAGGTACTAATATCATCCTGAAGACCTGACCCTTAGGAAGACCTAATTATCTTCCAAAGTTCCCATCTACAAATGCCATCACATTAGGGGTTAGGGCTTCAGCACACGAATTCAGGGGGAGGATACATTTCGTACATAGATCATGCATTATCTCATTTGATTCTTGATAACCCTATGACATAGGTTTTATTTTAGGTGAAGTACGGTAAGCTTAGCAAGCTGAATCTGCTAAAGATCACTTAGCTTGGTAGTGGGCTTGGTAGCCCAAAAGTGGAGGGCTTCACACCTAGGAATAACTGCCTTAAAAGCAACAGAAGACTTGCCTCCTGAGGCCCTGAGTCATTATCCTATTTGGTTTTGAACCATTTGGTCTGAAAGTAAATGTAAAAGTGAGTGAGGCAGGAGCATGAAGGGGAACCCAAAAGGAGAGAAGCAGATAGAGGGGTGGGTGCTCAGTGGGGTACAGGTGAGCCCCTCAACATGGAGAGCATGGATATATCTTCAGGAGAGACTGCTGGAAAGAGCTTGACAGGAAACTGGACCCAGGAAGGCTGGGGGTGGAGTTTGGCATTATGATGTCAATTATGGAGGAATGTTTGACTCATCTTCCCTCACCCTCTTGGCCTTGTTCCTAGGTCCCATACACTGGCAGGTTTTTCAGAACAGGAAAAAGAGGAAGGGAGGGAAGCAGAGCCCCTCCTTATACCCAGGCTTTGGGAGTTACAAAGATCTCTCTGTTGAATAAACCTTAGAATGGAAACATTTCTCCCACACAGAACCAGTGTTAAGATAAGGGTAAGGGTCTCACAGTCCTCTGAAGCAGGAGCTGTGCAAGGTGCTGGAGACTGAAGGAGCTGTGTAAGGTTTCCTCTGCCCTTGGGAAGTTGTCAGCTGTGTGCCGGGTAAGATACTCAGGGCAGCAGCCCCCTATCTTGGCTGCTGTTTCTATGGAAAGGTGGATTCTTACCACAGCACGCAGGGTGTAGGCTGTGCTGGGAACAGGCCGAACTTCTCCCTCTTGTTCCTTTCTTCCTCCTGTTTGCAGCCACTCCTCTGAGCATAGCTACTGGCCACCTGCTTCTTGCCAAGGAGGAAATTCAGGAGGTTGGCACATCTAGTGTGTCAGAGTCCTGAGTGAGACCACTAAATAGCCATGTGGCCACGACAGAGTCACATGGCATCTCTGAAACTAAGGAGTAAATTACCCATCTTGCCTACCTTATGAGGGTCTCTGGTGGATATTAAATATTTTATTTTTTTATTTTTGTGATATTAGGGACCAAAGTCATGACCTCAAGAGCTCTACCACTGGAACCGCACCCCCAGTCCTTTTGCTTTATATCGTTTTTCAGAGAGGGCCTCACATTAACTCTGCCCTGGCTGGCCTTGGATCTTACCCACCTACCTCCAACTCTGTAGTAGCTGGGACCACAGGCATGTGCCACCACACCTGGCCTTAAATGGTATATTATGTACGTACTTCATAAATAGCAAAGCATTACGCAATGCAGAAAATTACGGTGATTCTCATAGTCAGGCAGCTGGATGGGGCCTGAAAGTCCGCCTGTTGTCACTCATCTTTACTGCACACCAAGCCTTCTTCTAAGCATTTCTTATATATTAACACATTTAGTCTGTCGAGCAGCCCAGTGGGGTAGGTGCTATTATCTTTTACGTGAGGAACAGAGAGGTTAAGTGATTTGTCCATGGCACATAGTAGGTGACACAGCTGAGAGTCAAAGTCAGATTCCCAAACCTTGGTCTGTCAGCCTCTAGACCAAGTTGCCTTCTGTGTGCTGCATTAGCGCCTTCGGCATATCCTTCTGAGGACTTGACAGAGAATTACAATTGCTTATGTTAAGGACAGAAGTTATTGGAAGGCAGGGACTCTGCCTCATTTACACACACACACTCTCCATAGTGCCTGCCACATAGTTGGAGCTCAGTAAAGATTTGTTGAATGAATATATACCTCTGGGAAGGTAGACAAGTCTGACACACACTGTTTTTCCTTCATCTTAATTCACTATGCCCATTTTCTTCAACTGTTTCCAATAGCAGGTTGTTTGACATTTCTCACCATCCACATTGATCTTTGCACTTTTTCTTCTTGGGCAATGACTCATAAAGTGAACTCCAAGGATGTGAGCATTGCACTTGAAGAATGGGCTGAGCAGCACTGGGTCCAGTAGGCCTATCCTTTCCTCCCCCTACAGTAGAGCCTCATTATCCAGACTTTTGCCTTAGGAGTGCATTCCTGCCCTTGTGCTTTTGTATGCCTGATTAGGAAACCAAATATCCTTAGCTTTTCCCTCCTTCCTTCCTTTCCTCCCTCCTACCTCCCTCCCTCCCTTCCTCCTTCCCTCCTTCTTTCTTCCTTTTCCCCTTCCTCCTTCCCTCTCTTCTTTCTTTCTTTATTTTTACTGGTAAAAAAAGAAGAGATTCCCTAAGGTTGTCATGGAAGAAAGCAGGTTGTTTGGTGAGAGTTTGGGCAGGGAACTGCATCTTCTAATCTGGAATCCAGAGAATTTATCAATTTGTTTCATAGCATGACTGGTGAGATTTTTTTTTAAGAAAAAAAAATCAGCATTGCTGGCCTCACATATAGGACTGTATTTAAGGGACAAGATGTTTGAGTTTGGAGATGTCTTGAGAAATCTTGTAGTTAGTAGACGAGATTGTTTGCAGTGTATCTTGTTGGTCTCAAGTTGGGGAAGTAGACTCTGGTTCTCATTGTAGACTAAAACAACTGACAAAATTGAGATCAGATTTTTAGACAAAGTGGCAATCACACGCATGATAAATTTTCGCTTCCAACCGGGTTTTTGTTTGGGTTAGAGATGACTTTGGGGACCTGCACATCCCACTGGGCATCCCGAGCTCGGCTCTCTGAACCGGGTCACCTCCGCCAGCCCCTACTACGGCAGCCTTCCGGGTTAGCGACCCAAGAGCCGGAGGGCGGGGCCGCCCCGGCGGGAGCGCGCGCCCGGGCCCCATCGCTGGGTGGCAGTGGGGGACAGACGGCGTCCCGGGAGCGCGCGAGGCCGCACGTGCGCGCGCCCGCCCGCTCGTCCGCACTCCCGGCAAGTCTCGCGATGCCGTAGCCGGCAGCTCCCGCTGCGGGCGGCTCTGGCTGTTGCTGTGGTTGCCTGAGTTGCTGCTGCTGCTGCGGCGGCGGCGGCGGCGGCGGTGGTGCCTGTGGAGGTGTCGGCCCCCGGGCGGATGTTGACATTGTGTTGTTGTTATTGCCGATGGTAATGGCGGCCGCGGTTGGCTGGACCCCATCTCCTTAGTAGCCAGAACCCCGACAGCCAAGCGCGAACTCCGCGGCCTCCGAGCCGGCGGCAGTGACTCCCTCTTCCTCGGCCGCCTCGCCAGCCGGTCCCCGGCGCCGAGCCCAGAAGTCAAGGCCCCTTGGCAGGGGTGTCGGGGGCGCGGGATGGCGGATTTCGACGAGATCTACGAGGAGGAGGAGGACGAGGAGCGGGCCTTGGAGGAGCAGCTGCTCAAGTACTCGCCGGACCCGGTGGTGGTCCGCGGCTCCGGTCACGTCACAGTGTAAGGCCCGGCGGAGCGCGAGCGCGAGCGCGAGGACCGGGCGCGGGCCCGGGGCGGGGGCCGGGGGGACTCTTCCCGGAGGTCGCCCGCGGTGGGGGTGGGGGGTGAGGACTCGCTGGATTCTGTGTGCTTTGCACTCCCTAGTGGGGACAGCTGTCCCTCCTCCCCCGCGCCCCCAGCAGGCCCCTGGCCTGGGCGAGGGGTGGTCCCCGCCGTGGAAGGGGGGGTTTTGTGGGGTCTGCCCTTTGGCCCCCGGCTCCAGCTTCGGAGTGGAGGTACGCGTAATTATGAACCTCCCCGGGTTCCCCGTGGTCCTTTGGATCATTGAGCCTAGTGACATACGGCTCTGAGGCCAGCTCTGGACCGTGTAAAGACCCTAGTGACAATCGGTAGTGAGGTTCACTGTCGTGTGTCTGTAGATTTCACACATCCCCACAGATCTTCCCCGTTTCTTAACAGTTAATTGCTGCAACTAATGCAAGCTTCTGTAATTGTAAATAATAAAAATTTAAACATGAACTTAAATTTAAGATACGCAGAAAGATGGGTGTTTACAACGAGCTTTAAAAAAAAAAAATCCGGTCTACTGGATGAGGGCTATCTGTGATCCAAGTCCTTCTTGGGGGCATGAACTTTCCGTTGGCGTCTTCATTTCATTAGAGTTCCTGTAAGTCTTACGAGCAACATCAGAAGTCCAGTATTATTCAGGCAATAAGGAATGAAAGTTTTCAGAAAGGTCATGACTAATAAAGGAATGCTCAGACTTGAACCAAGTAATGAGCTGTCCGGAAGCAGGAAGTTTTTAATGTTTTTCTGAGAAGTCAGGCTGTGCACTGCTTGAAGTATTGATACCCTTTAAGTTTATATCTAGGGTTCAAATCACAGATCAAACTTGTATATCTCCGCGCTTCCCGTTTTCCTAAGTCTGAAAGGCTGGGCAGTCTGAGGAGGTCTGGACTAGTTTCCCTTGTATTTTGGTAGAGGGTGGGTAAATGGGTGTGCTGTGATGAAGATTGTCGGCAGAATCTTTGCACTTAATATGTGGAGACCAGCCATATTGACCATGTTGTTTCCATTTGCTTATGTAATGCTTTGATTTTTTTTTTTTTTTTTTTTTTTAGCACTAGGTAGTTTGTATTCTGTTGACTTAACAATGTCCCAGCACCTTGAGGAGACCATGAGTTTGATCACAATAACAGTTATTAAGTGTTTTAACTGTCATGTCATATCCAAGTATCATAGATGTTAAGTTTTAACATATATCACAATGTTTTTAGTGCCCAAACCACTAAGCTACACACCCAGCTTCTATAGTCACTACCTTTTAAGATTATTAAGGATTGATTGAGTTCATGCAAAAATTTTTATCACAGAATGTGGTAATGGGCTTATTAAATTCTAGCCCTTATTAGTTATTATCTTCCTCAGATACAGTTTTCCACTTTGAGGAACAGATAGAAAATCCACTAGTAAGAAATCAGTACTTGCTGGGCACTAGTGGCTCACTCCTGTAATCCTAGCTACTCAGGAGGCAGAGATCAGGAGGATCTAAATTGGAAGCCAGCTTGGGCAAGTAATTTGTGAGACCCTCTCTGGAAAAAACCCAACACAAAACAGGGCTGGTGGAATAGCTTACATGGTAGAGTGCTTGCCTAGCAAGCTTGAGGCCCTGAGTTCAAACCCCAGTACCACCCCCCCCAAAAAAAGTACTGTCATTTTCAAACCTAACATACTCATTTAACCACCTAATTTTTCCATTTCCAAACAACTTGGATGTGCTTAAATTATTGTGTGAAGTATTGCAATGAGAGTAAGAATCTTTGTGGACTGAAAACCAAGCCCATTTTGTGGTGACAAATACAAAACTTGTACGTGACTGTCATGTGTAATTCTCAGGCATACTAGATTGGGTAGCCAAGTTAGCACCTGTAAATTGGTGCTTCTATGTTATCACAACTGTTGAGGTTGTACAGTTTTTTCTTGTCTTTGAGTATAAACAGGAAGAGTTAATTAAAAAGTTACAGCAATACTATGGAAGATTATGCCCCCTCCCCCCCTTTTTTTTTCTCACTAAGGAATTGATCTGAGCAGTCTTCTCTTGCCAATGTGAAAGTAAATGATAGTAGAAACTTAATCATACGTAATCCAGGTCAGACTGGAAAGATACAGATCTATCTGTATGTTTGAGTTTGCCGTGTTTCTACTTTACTTTTCTACTTTAATGTACTCCAGTATTACTCTTATTTTATTTTAGAAATTTTTGTATTCTCATATGATATGATTGGTATATCATTGTGGTAAGGTGTAAAGTAAGTTATCTTCCATTTTCTACCTCATAGGTAGATAAAGGTTAATTTTAGAGCATTACCAAATTTTAGGGACATAGGAAACAAAGTGTCCAATTTGCACAAAGTCTACTTGAAAGTGGCTTTTAATACAAATATTTTTATACTGACCCCAATGACATCTACTTTGTACTTCTATCATGATCAGTATTCTTTGTTGACATTCTTCTGGATGAATGTAATATTTTTCTTTATTGTTAGATTTGCATGTAGAAATGTGGAGAAATCTTGTGTAGAAAAGTATATTTTGAGGAAAAGTGGTTAAAAAAGTGGTAAAAGGGGAAGGAAATAATAAATTTCTATTGCATAATATTTATATACATGTAACTTACGTGGCTTGAACTGTCAATTCAATTAAAAGTAAATTTCTGTTTTTCTTTTTTGATAACTTCTCATTATGTAATGAAAATGAGGGAAAAAAGTGACTTATTAGCTGGTGTTGGCCAGACTGGTTAATATTTTTAAACTTGGAGTTTTTTCCTCCTGGGTACTGGGGGGTTAAACCAGGGCCTTGTAAATGCTAGGCAGTTGTTTTACCACTGAGCTACATTCCCATTCCAATTTTGGAGTTCTTTATTATGCAGAATATATTGATAATTTACTTAAGACTGATTTTTTTCACAAGGATGATAACTCCAAGGGCCATGTTAATGTAAAAATTAAAATTTAAAAAGTAATTTGAGGCCAGTATTAACTAGCTAAGCTATCATAACTGCTGTTATTTGGTATTTGTTCCCATCCTGCTTCATATTCCTCTGATGTCAGGCGCAAACTTGGGGCTTTCCTAGAGTATGTATTATCCTTGACTTTTAACTTAAGCCATGTCATAGAGCCAAATTATTTTGCTGAGGCTTGTTTCCTAATATATTCTTTTCTAATTTTACTAAATTACCTTGTCTTCATATGCTATGTTCTGGTAATCTTACCGTTGCCACAAATAATTCCTTATCCTTCAGCAACAGTTTTGATTAATGGCTCTTGAACACCACCCATTGCTCATCTTCATCTAAGATATTTTTTGGAAGACTGAAGATTTAGAAATGTGTCTTGAAATGAAAAAGTTTGGAAACTACTTTATGGTGTATATGGTCTTTGTGAGGAAAGATCACAAGAATACCTTAGTGTTTATTCATCTTTCAAATGGTAGAGGTAGTAAAATAGTGTCTCTTGAAATGTATTGACTGCCGGGTTCGATGCTGCCCTTAGCAATAAGAAACCTGAACACAATTTGCCCAGATTATAGAATCAAAGGAATCATTTTTTAAAATGTCTTAATTCCCAGCTCATAATATAAAGCATATCCCATTTTTATTTTTATTTATTTGTTAAAAAACTTTTAGACAGGGTCTTGCTGTGTTGCCTAGGTTGATCTCAAATTCTGGGTTCAAGTGGTTCTTCTGTCTCAGCCTCCCAAGTACTGGGACTATAAGTCTGTGCCACTGTGCCTGCCTTGGTATATTCCATTTGTAAAGATGAAATTTTTTGTTTTGAGATTTTTGGAGACCTTATTAATATTTCTCCACAAGCTGTAAAGTTTTGAGGGCAGTGATTGTGTTTATTAGTTTTTATTTCTCTGCTGTTTAATTAGAATTATTATACAGGTCCTAAAATAGTCTCTAAATGGATGAGGTAATTCCATACGTTTTTGGATCTTGTTGAATGGCCAAAGGAATCACTGTTGTCTGCACTTACTAATGAAGGCAAACTATTTTACAGAATTCTTTATTTACATAGAGAAAATAAACAGCTCTTTTTAAAAATGAAAGAAATGTGGTAAGGTCTTCACCTTTGCCAGCTGTTTGGGAGGCAGAGACAGGAGGATACTGGTTCCAGGATGGCACAGAGCAAAAAGGTAGCAAGACCCTGTCTCAAAAGCGAGCCTGGAAGGATGATGCATGTCTGTGGTCCCCGGTATTCTGGAGGTGGAGGAGAAGGGTCATGGTTCTAGGTCAGCCCTTGTAAAGTCAGCACAACACCCTGTCTGAAAAACACATTAAAAGCAAAAGAACTGGGGGTGTGGCTCTCTTTCAAGCTCCAGGTCTCGAGTTCAATACCTGCTACTGCCCTTCCCCCCCAAAAAGAGTGAGGAAATAACATTTTGAGATAGGCATTTTTCCCTCAGAAAAATTTTTCTTATTCCTAATTATTTGAGAGGAAATTAATTTGATTGAGAATATGACTTTGAACATGTTTTTGGTAATATGAAGAAAAAATACTAAGTCTTTTATATGATTCCCCTGCCCTTCCCCCCTCCCCCCCTTTTTTTTTGTGGCACTGGGGTTTGAACTCCAGGCCTCACACTTGCTAAGCAGGTTCTGTTAGTACTTAAGCCACTCTGCCAGCCCACTAAGTGTTTTAATTGTAGCAACTATTAAATCTTAATGGGTAAATGTTCTTAAAGAAATGAGAAATACGGTAATGAATTGGAGCTTCAAAGGTGTACTATATTTGAATTTAAAAATTTACATAGGGTTTCAGTCTGTAGAGTTTGGTATTGGATTTCTGCGTACCAAGAGGTTTGAAGTAGGCTAGTACTTAGAATTGTATATGACTGTCTAAGTGGAATTCAGGGGCTAAGTAGTGAAAATTAAATTGTAGGTTATTAATTAATCAAATACTATTATTCTAGATTACTCTAAAGAATAATGCTTTTGA